TATGAGAATAAATAATCATATACACTGAATATCTTTTGGTACTGTAACCGTATAATTTTAAAAAGTTATTAAATATATGAAGATATCGTTTTGTTTATGATGCCACAAATACTTATTTTAGACATTCAAAGTTTGACTTGGCACATTTCGTTATTTCGTTTACTAATTGAACAAATTCATCCGTATAGATAAAAATGGTTAATAACATTTATTTTATAAATCCATATTAAAGAAAATATTATTTTTTAAAATTTATATGTATATATCGTTCTTAGTTTTCAAATAAATGTAAATACTTAACTACTTGCTGCAAATACAAAAACACTAAACAATTTCATAGGGTAGCTTTTAATTTTATGTGATTTCTGTTAACCCCATTAATTTCACAGGGTTTAGCTTCTGATTCTCAATCTAATTTTTTTTTTAAAATTGGTGTCTCAGTTTTTTCTAGGGTCTTAACCAGTAAGATTGATATATACAAAGTTTTTAGGTAAAAGTGAAGATAATCATAGAAATGATATATTAGAATACATTTCTACTTTTTTTTTTTAAACATCCATCTTATTAGTATGGAAGATCTCATCATATACATAAGAATGTTTCAATTTGGAGAAGATTCACTATCTCAACAATTTAAAATATCATACCCAATCTTAGATACTATACATTCAAACTTAAAATTCAATTTATTAGAAATATAAAGTACAGTTTGACCAAAAAAATGATAGAGTACAATAACAAGTTTTATTTTGTGGATTGAAAAGTTTCGTTTTCCAAATAGACGTTTAAATATTGTTAGATTTTTTTGGATAAGTTTTAAATAATTGTTAGATAAGTGCTATTGCACTAAAACATACATAGTTTCTAATATATTTTCATTAACGAGAGATTCACATGATAATTTATAATCAATTAATCTGGATATTGTTATACGACTTCAAAACGTTTCTCTAAATGTTACTGCAGTAATACTAAAATCACTGAGTCGACAACTAAACCTATAAAAAGAAAAGAAATGTACATGATTTCTCTATGCAGGTAGCTAGGTATACATTTTCATAGTTTTCTTGTTTTCTTTATTTATTGTTAAAAAAGTTTCACGAAACTGAAAGAAAAGGAAATATATACACCAAATTAACCTAGAAAATAATCATGGTTACACTTGTGGGTGATTTTTTATCAGTAAACAAAAACCACAAAAACGTGTAATAAAGAATCATAAAATCCATTTACAAAAGGATGACTTGTGACCCAAGCTTTCTCGACCACAAACGTGAAAGATGGCTCAAAATTAAAGTATCCAACATATATCTACGTATGCATGTATACATAAAGTTATAAAACTTCAAGAAGAGTGAAGATCCATGGAAGCTCTTCTCCAACCTCGCCTCTCTGAAGAAACCCTAACCTTAAAGACACGGCAAAACAATAAAAGTCTTAGTGAAAGCTATTACATAAGAAAATTTAGTAACCAGAGAGTTTTGGGCAAATTTCTTTTAACAGACCTTTGATGATAATGGAGGCAAAGATGCTCGTCTCGTAAGCTCCTCTCTTTCCTCTTGAACAGCTTTTAATCTTTCTCTCAAAAGTTCCACTTCATTCTCAATCTTTAACCTCTCATAATCAACCGCAGACATCGATTTCCGTCTTGAACCCGAAGAGCTTAGCGATTTTCTACGTGGACGACATAAAGGAGGAAGCTTTCGAGCAATCCCCGAGACAATGATACTATGTTCCTGTAATGATTCATCAGGTTTACTAACAGAGGATTCTTCTAAACTCTTCTTCTTGCCAATCTTCTCTGTTTCGTCCTTCACCATATAAACATCACGCACGCGCGAATACGCAACTTCTGAATCTGATTTATACAGTCCTCTGTTTTTATCTCTGTTTACTTCTTCTCTATAAGGCATATCAAGAACCGTTCCATCAAATTCTTGAACAAGTAAAGCTCTTTTCTCTTGAGAATCTTGAACCGGCTTCACTGTATTTTCGGTACTCTCTGGAAGATTCTGCTCTCTTGTTAAAGAGTATTCCAATTCGTCTGCCTCGACGAGTAACTGTCTATAAGCTTCAACTTCTTTCTCCAAGAAATGTTTTTCCCTTTCACGCCGTATCAAAATGTCTTTGAGTATGACCATCTCTTCATCATCGAATGTCGATTTCTCTTCAACCATTCTCTTGAATTGCATCGCTTCCATTTCTATCGCCGCCTTCTCATCTTGCAGCCTATGTATCATCGCCATTGCTTCATCCGCTGCTGATGCTGCCGCGCTTCTCTCTTTGTCGAGTTCAACACAAACCGCTGCTCGAGCAGCTCTCTCTTCTTTCAATGATTCTTGTAAAGCCTTAACAGAGTTTTCCTCTGCATTTCCGACAAAAGATTGTTCTGTTGATGAATTGGAGTTGAACTGTTCATTAACTGAGACAGTTTTTTCAAGTTCAGGCCAATGAGAGGTATTAATCCCCTCTCCTGTCTTTACACAATCTGCAATATCCCAAAAAGTTATAATCTTTAATGCTCAAAAGGATGGCTAGATCAACACACATTCACGAACAACGCCTAACATCGATTAGACGCAAAAATTTCGATGAAATCGATCAGCTTAAGATAAGAAAGAATACCTTTGCGGTCATCGTTGGAAAATATTTCATCCTTGGCTTTGATAAAGACATCACAAGGCTGAATCAAAGGGGCTTTTACGGTCTCATCGAAAGCTTCTGATGAAGAAACTGATCTAAGGCTTACACAATCCGCACGGCTTCTTCTATGGTTCTTAAGACCGTTTCTTGATCTTCGAGTAACGAAACGCTTACCCTTCATGCCCTGAACGTTCATAAGATTAAATCCACCAAGATTTTTATTGTTAATCACATTCTGTTCTTCTCTTGGTACATCATCTTCTGTTTCATCTTTAACTCTACCATTACTTATATCACCACTGTTCTTTCTCACCAGCTTCAACTCACCAAACCGATTTGAATCATCATCACTAGTAATCGAGCCAAAAGGGATTTTGCTTTTTATGGATCGATCTACGACTGAAATTCTCTCTGTTGCACGATTTACTAGATCTCCTTGAAGGCATTTCTTCATGTTTGCATCACCAAAACGTCCATTGTGAAATCTTGGAAGAGAAAAACCTAGAAACCCTAGAAATCTCAAGACGAGATGTATAAAAAGAGATGTACAGAGAAGTAAATAGGCTATGGAGAGATTCAGAAATGCGCCTATGAGACCAGTGAAATTCCAATTGTGCGTATCAAAACAAGGCATTTTTGTACTAAATTGATCTATAACTGTAACTAAAATAAGTTCATCAAATCAATGTTCTTTCAGACAGTCTACGAGAAAAATCCAGAAACATTGATCATCTGCTCGAACATTATTATTAGACCCTTTTCAGATTAATGCCTCAGTTTCTAAACCTAACATCTAAAACCGKAAATTGTGTTCTTTGTAATAATAAAAATATTGTAATTGAAGCAAATGGATCTTAACCACATGTTGTGTAGAATAGTGACTATTTTTGAACATCTTCATTTGATCAATCGAATGAAAATGTGGATTTTTTTAGCAAAAGATGAGGTCTAACATGAGCCAAGTGGAAGGTAGCGTAGAACGCAAGACAATGCATAATGACACAAGTCCATACTATAAATTAGAAAAGCTTATACATATGTATATGTGATTATTATAGTGAAAATTATATGTGCTTTTACAGTGTTAGTGAGAGCTTAATTATGTTTTTTTTTTTTTTTTGTCACTAGTGAGAGCTTAATTGTAATCAATAGATATACATTTATATTCATGTAGGCCAAAGCTACTGGTCCTTTGAGTAATTATGTCTCCAACTTTGGACTACTGATGTAATTAAATAACAAAACAAATTATTTACCTCAAATATTTTCAGGATTTACCCTATGCATAACCTATACCTCAAATGAAAAATTCAATCTAAAAACCCTAAAGCGATATGTTGAAATGGTAAACGATTCCGCTTCTTTGTCTCCGTCTACACAAGTTTTTGGGACTCTTTAACTTGCACAACTATTCTTGCCTTGTACACGGTAAGATTTAAGGGTTTCGATTTAAAGCCATGATTTCGTTTGCCTCACGAAGATAGATACAGTAATCGAGAAATGAATTGCAGATTTAGACTTTCGTTTGCCCTAATTTGGCTGTGTGATTGAATTTGATACAGTTTGAGAGAGCTAGATCGTTGAATATGATCCAGTTATAGGTTTTGGTAAGAGTTAAAAACCAATCTGCTTGTTCTTTGTCCATTTCAGCTAGTCTTGTTCTTTGGACATGCAACTTGTCAAATTACAACTTTGCAGATTGTTTTCAAAGTAGATATAATTGTAGAATTCATGATCTAATCTACATTTGCTCAATTTTTTTTGTTTTAATTGTTGAAGGAGAAAGAGCTTTGAAGAAAAATTCACAGTGGGGAATGGCAGAGACTGTTAATGAAGATTCTGGAGTGGGACAATCAGTAAATGGACAAGACAGTCAAGCAGGAGAAGCACTCTCTGAGACGCGGTCTTACTGGGACACC